AACTAACTTTACTTTACCTACTACTTTCTTTACTTGTTAGTAAGTAAGACGGAGACGTACTAGTAACCGAACTACGATACTTCTACTAATAACTAACAACTACTACTACTCCTCCCTCCCTCCTCTCTCTCTCTCTCTCTCTCTCTCTCTCTCTTGCACACACACACACACACACATATTGGAGGTGGGGCATTTGGCCTTCAAACCTTCTCGTTTTTATCGTATAACAACTCCTGTAATCCTGAGATACATGCACATGCTTTATATCTTTCAGTTTGTTTTATAGATGCTGGTACATTGTGCATGATGGTATTGTTTTCCTCACTCTCAAGGTAGCACACTATGGAAATTAAACCATCTTCTCCTATGGATCTTCCCTACCTGATGCAGATCAAGACCTAGTTGATTCAAAATTTAATTTTATTTCTAGATATGTGGATAGACTTCTTATCTATTATTGGGGTTAATTTCTATGAATTATCGCATAGAAAGGTTGAGAATTATCTATAGGGAAGGAAGGAATAAAAGGAGGATGAGTTTGTTTCAAAGATAAAGACTCTAGTTTTATTTTTTTAGCAAGTCAATCTTTCATTAGGAAAGCCATCTTTTTATTAGGAGTTACATTTCGTCTTTAGGTAATCTTATCTTAGATAGGAAAATAAGAACATAGAATAGGTTATCTTTTTTGAAAGATATGTGAATTGTTTTTAGGAGGATTTCTATCTTTTTAGAGAAGTACGTGAGATAATAGGAATAGAAGACTTGAGTTATCTTTTTAAAGAAAAGTAGAATAGGATATTGAAGGGGGCTTTTAAAATAATGTCAATGTAATGGAAGCTTAGCTCTTGTTTCGTTTCTGAAGAAAAGGAAATTAACATAGAAGATAGAAGGGTTTCTTCTCTTTGTTTTCTTTTGATGAGGCGTGGTGGAGGTCTGGGCTCCCCTCATAGTGCTCCTTTCTTGCGATCTCTTCTCAATTGTTTGTTTTCTCTCTCTAAAACGCAGTTGTATTTGCCGATTGTTAGCTACTGGTAATTACAGCTGCGTTAGTTGGTATAAGAGCTTAGGCTTTCTTCAATAAAAAAGCCGTTAAACTACAACCAAGCCTACGGTTTGTTGATTTTGGTCAAGTTTTGCCAAATCAGCCTAGAAGTCGATGATTTTAGCGAGGTTTTGTTGATTCTCTACTTAGGGTATGTAATTTCGGCAAATCTATGACAGCGAGAAGGGTTTGTGGAAAGGGGTTTTCACAAATCTACTTCGTAATCTAAGAGAAGAAGAAATTGCAAAGGCAAGTTCAGCCAATCGTGATTAAGGCAGTTAACAATTGGCAAATACAACCACGTTTTAGAGAGATAAAACAAATAATTAAATAAGCACAATGAGGGGAGCCCAAACCTCCACCATGCACTACCAAAAGAGAAAACAAAGAGAAGAAACCCTCTCTCTCTCTCTTTTATATTAATTTTCTTTCATTAAAAAAAAAAACAAGAGCCAAGCTCCTATTACATTGACATTCTTTTAAAAGCCCCCTTCTCACTATTCCACCCTTTTTTTATAAAAGATAACCCAAACCTTCTATTCTGATTATCTCACGTACTTCTCTAAAAAGATAAAAACCCTCTTAAAAATAATTCACATATATTTCTAAAAGGAAAACCTATTTTTTTGTTCTTATCTTCCTATCAAGGATAACATTACCTAAAGGCAAAATGTAACTCCTAATGAAGAAATAGACCTTCCTAATAAAATGATTGCTTGCAAAAAAGATAAAACCAGAATCATTATCCTTGAAACAAACTCATTCTCCTTTTACTCCTTCCTTCTCCACAGATAAACCTCAACCTCTCAACCCTTTTATGCAATAATTCCTAAAAATTAACCCCAATAAAAGATTAAAAGTCTATCCAAATATCTAAAACGAAATTAATTTTTGAATCAACCAGGTCTTGATCTGCATCATTCCCTCGCAAACACACCCCCTTGTGTGCACACACATGCACACATGCACAATAATATTCGGTATGGATTTGTATGCCCCAGGAATCCATCTCATGGTCAACAACTAGAAAAGGCAAACTTTTGTTTCTTTTTTTTTTTTTAAGCATGAAACAACAACCTTGTTATTATGGTACAACACTTATGGGTTCAAACAAGTGAAATCTTCCATTGGTGTCAATTTCCAACAAACAATGTTGGACGAGCAATGAACAACTAACTTACAACGGGAGACTTTGTAATCGTATATTTTTAAGATTTAACATTCTAGTTCTAGAAAAATAGAAATCTACAACTTTTGAAACTTCAATAAAAAATGAACAAAAGGAGAGTGTCTTACACGACAAAGCAAAATCCACATGGTGTTTTAGTGTTCTTATCCAATCCCATGATTATCTTCTTAATCTCCCCAGCTCGAGCAAACAGTTCATAAACTTGCTCTTCAGTTGTGTAGAAGGATGTATTGCCAACATAAACAGTTGTGGAGACTTGGAGTGCATGCTCAAATTCCTCTTGATTTCCAGGAAATTTTCTATCTTTATATGCAGAAAGCTTGCTTAGGTCCTAGAAAAATGATTATTCGTAAGATATCCTGATCAGTTTGGAGAAGATATCTCAAATGCAGGCGCTTAACATGGTCTTTATAGGCAAAGAAAAAAAAATCCTTATAGAAAGAAAGGACACACTAGAACTAATTCATATTAAAAATGCAGATTATATTAGGAAAAAATATTGAGAAAAAGACCAGTTTTTGCTAACCAAAATAATTAAGAGTAAAAATATAATAAACAAGACCATGAAAAAAGTTGTCGCGTATGAACAACAAACAACAGACAAGAGGCTGCATACATCATGGAACTATAATAAACAATAATATCAAGACCACTTAGATCTTAACAGTCAACACACTTTCTCCAGAAGAAAAATAGTTCAATGCTATCTTGCAACTCCTAGCTTGAATTCTATAAGACAAATTAACACACAGTAACTCCAGCATGAAGATAGAAAATCACTGATGACAAGAACTGAGGAAAACCGAGCTTTCCAACAATACTGGCCTCGCCTCCTTTTGATTTCAAGATGGGCTTGAAAATGCCCAAATTCCTTAAGTTTTCTCAAACTACCCTTTGGGGCCTCAAGCTTGCTTTTCTTCTAGTGTAGCCCTTTTGGGTTTGTTGGTGGGTCTTGAAGAGGAAGATTTTCAAAGTTCCATGCATTTCTTCCTCTTTTGTCCTTGAACTTTCATGGACAAAACCAGTTAAAGCACCAGGAAGACAATGTTGATCACAAGGGTGAAATTCACAAGGGTGAAATTCAAATGAAGTTAGATAAAGAGATAAATGTAAGAATACACATAAAAGAAAAAAGCTCGAGACAGAAGGAAAATCAATGTTCCATATTTGTATAATTCAGTCTAATTATTACTGAACTACGTTATCTATAAAAAGTGAAAGTAAGCACTAAGTATCGATGACATATCAAATATGCCTACTTTGGATCTATACTTGAAGAAAGTCAGCAAATTCATTTCTACAACTTCTTTAGTTATATAGTGGTGTCATAAGTATCAAGTAAGGAGATCAACAAGTGGCGTCAGAAGTATCAAGTAAGTAGATTAACAAGTGATTATGAATTTCAAACCCTGGGCATCATGTAGGAGACCAATAACATTAACCATCTCAATCATATGAAAGAGGAATAAAGTCATCCACTTTTCAAGAATGAATCCATCTTCAATACTTTCAGTTTTAATGACTTCTTAATTATTTGTACGTCATCACCCAGGTATGATAGCATAACATGATGGCAATACATCAAATAATGATATTAACTCCTTCATTAAATCAAGTGTTGACATCATAAAGCCAATACAAAGCATTAATAAAATTTTCCATAATATTGAAACTTTTCCATAATATTTGATTATATAACCAAATATTCTAGAAGTCAAAAGGACTTATATATGAAAGGTAATTTGCAAAAATATGTAAGCCTTTGGCATGACTCCAACTGAGCAAGCCAAAACAGGAATGGTTATCACATAATCCAGCATGCAATTTCATTGATCCATATGTGCTATAGAGAAAAGGAGCAATCAAACATCAAAAGAAAGTCATGCATATGCTACACAAGAATTTCTGCATGCAAGATAATGGCCAACTATTTCCAACACACCCTCTCATCCCTCTCAATAGCACATATTGGTATCAGTATTGTCAGTTTCCCCCTCTTCACTCCAAATCAAATTAACCAGGGAAGTTCATACTGACAAAATATATATTTTCAAACGACCTTTGTAAAGAAAGAAAAATTCTGAATACTGACAAGAATATTCGCACCTCATGTCATTTCAAGTTTTGAGTGTTCACACACATAAAGAATAATTAAATGAAACATTATCTTATATATTATAATAAATGACAAAACTGTAAACATAGCCATGAAAAACAACTAGGAAGTGACAATCCCCAGAAATGGGAGTGGCCATTAGATGGAGTTAACATAAGTCCAAGGATTTGATTTCCCCCTGGTTCGGATACCAAGGCACATTTTGTTCAAAAGGTAGCGGCCACACACAAAACACAGCAATTTGAAAGTGGGTTGAAAATTGGTATTTTCAATTTTCATCTCACTCACAAAATGGCAGTGTTTTGTGAGTGCACCCACTCGGGTTTTAAAATAATTCTAATGAACCACTTGAACCATAAATAATAGTGCCAAAGCATGTTTTGTGGTGGCATGCAAATGAGACCTTAGTAGTGGAAAGGCAGTGACTATCAAGAAATTCCAGTACATTTGATTTTAGACAAAAGTGTACATAGCAAAGGTTTTTGAGCAAGTGAATCCAACAAGGGCACTCTTGATGAAAAGACGGGTAGGTAAGAAAACAGAGAAAGAAAAACCAAATATCATTTGCTGCTAACATTCAGAATTCAGTCAATTATGAAGACAGTTACAATGAATTCTACATAACCATATCTAATATGCAAAACCAATGTTGGGTAAGGGAGCCTACTCTAAAATCAAGAAATACCTTAAACAAAGAAGCCATTTTTGCTAAAGCGTTCCCTTTAAGCTCCCCAGAGTCAACAAGTTATAGGCCTGTTTGTAAAACAAAGAAATCCCAATTATGCAATTGCAAATAGCTTCCCAGAGTCAACAAGTTATAGGCGCGTTTGTAAAACAAAGAAATCCCAATCATGAAATTGCAAATAGCTCCCCAGAGACAACAACTTATAGGCCTGTTTGTAAAACAAAGAAATCCCAATCATGCAATTGCAAATAATCAAAGTAAGCACCACATTCTTAAACAACTCAAGACACATTAGTCGCTCAAAAACCATGGAACTATTAAGTCCTTCAGTGAGTGCTGGAAAGGTAAATTAATCAGAAAAACATACAGTAGAGAACACAGAAAACGTATACAACAAAAATGAATCCCACACTTCATAACAGAAAATATAAGTTAAAAATATAAGTTATTTGGTCAGCATACACACGGAGAAGTTAACTTACCACCAGTTTGCCGCATTAAATTCGGGGAAATGGATATGTGTGTGTGAGAGAGAGAGAAAGACAACAAGTATCTCAATTCAATTTCTAGACAGATTAAGGGAAAAAAAATAAAAAATTCCAAAAAGAGAAAAAATCCCAAAAAGCCATACTTTCACAGAAACATATATGAACAGTACAGAGTGAACCTTACCACCGAAATACAACACATGATATGAGTGTAAAAAAAAACCAGTTTAGAGAAAGAAAGCTTACCCAGTTAAAACCCTAGATCACCAATATCACATAATCTCAATATTAGGCAAACCAAAGGAATAAAAGGAGACATGGCATGTTCTAAAGAGCTTCAACCAATCCGAGCAAATTCAAGGATTAATGGAAATCAAAGAGAAAAATAAGGGTTTTCGTGTGAGAAGCACCTAGGCGAGGAGTAGGCTTTTGAAGCACATCTTCTCCTTCTCCCTTTGTTTTTTTTTTTGCCCTTTCCTCCCTTCGACCGGTTTTTCTTGTTTCCCAATTAAAATACCATATTTCTCCTTTATAACGTCAGTTATTAGGAAATGGGAACGGACCACCCCCTTCGTATTTTAATAAGGCAAAAGTTTATACGAGGTTCCATCCTTTAAACGTAGAGTTACGGATGTACCTCAAAAATCCATCGAAAAAAAAGTAATTTGGAAGGAAAATATCTCCATTCACTCCATTTTCAACCCTTTTTTTTTTAAACCCAAAAATTCAAAATCTATATTTTAACCTCCCAAATAACTTTATTTATTTTTATCTCAACTTTTAATCCAAATAAATTTAAAAAACATTTTTTTTAACTCTCTCATTCCTCACATATTTCACACTCTTTCCTCATGTATTTCTCTATCTAGACGGTCCACGAGTTCAACGGGAAACCTTGTGTAATAGCCGAAAACTTTAAGTTTTGGCCACAATCTTCATCAAAAACCTCTCTCCAAGTAGGCTAAATATCCAATCATTAAAGGCGGGGGTAGTAGGCTGCTCTGCTGTTTCTTCGAAGACCAACACTGTGGAAAATCAATTGTTTCATAGATTGAGATCTCAGGATTAACCTTTCATCCTCAGTTAGGAAGAACAAGAACCTCACCTTCATCTTTGAAAGAAGCTTCCTTGGTTCATGGTTCTGATAGGCTTGAGTAGAATAAGGTATTGATGAAAGGTGATGCTAGATCTTCGCTAGTTTTGGATGATGAAGTGATGACGCCGCATAATTTCCAAGATTATTTGGAAAGATACAGGGACTTCACAGAAAATAGTGATGGCCCTCCTCGCTGGTTTACTCCATTGGAGTGTGGTGCTCCCTGCAAATCCCGATCAAAATTCCGACCAAAATGGTGGTCGGCAAAAAGATTCAGTCTGTGAAACCCTAAATCGAAAATTTGTGGGTTCTCCCTGTAAATCCTGATCAAGATTCTGGCCAAAATGGTGGCCGGCCAAAAAGATTCAGTCTGTGAAACCCTAAACCAAAAATTTGTGGGTTCTCTCTACAAATCCCAGTCAAGATTCTGGCCAAAATGGTGGCCGGCTAAAAAGATTGAAATTTGTGGGTTCTACCTGCAAATCCCAGTCAAGATTCCAGCTAAAATGGTGGACGGGCAAAAAGATTGAAATTTGTGGGTCTCCTTGTAAATTCCGGTCAAGATTCCGGCCAAAAATGGTAGCCGGCCAAAAATGGTTTCCGTCGAGATTTTGGAGATTGATCAGGGGGTCAATGGAGAAATGAAAGTTGAAAATAGGGTTTATGGAGATATTTTCCCTACTTTTAATGTTGAAAACCTTTTGATTGATTATCTTGACATCGAGATGTATGACCATGCAAAATAAAAATATTTTAAATCTAAAAAATAGTGCATTTTACAACATATTATCTACACCGTCTATTTTCAAGATTTTCATATATTTATAGATCTACTTGATTTTAACCATTTTTTAAATTTAAAATTTTATAATTAGATGTAAAAATAGATTTTGAGATAATCCTAATGACATTTTACATCAAAATCATATACCATGATAAAATTTGAAGGCACACTTAACCTCTACAGCTACGGATGCATCTGTACGCAAACTGCACCCTTCTAATAAATAAAACGTTTTCAAGCCTTGGTTTAATTTACTACGGAGCACAGAAGATAGGAGAAATAATCGAATTGTAACTGTATACCATAACGGTGGTTGAAGATCACAATCTTTCTTATTTGGGTGTGGTTTCTATAAGGTTGCTTAAACAATCCAAATAAGGTGCACCTCCAAATTTTATCATAATATGTAATTTTAGAGTAAAATATTCTTAGGATTATCTCAAAATCTAGTTTTATATCTAATTATAAAATTTTAAACTCTAAAAATGATTAAACTCAAGTCGATCTATAAACATATGAAAATCTTGAAATTGGGCGGTCCAGATAATGTGTTGCAAGATGCACTATATCAGGGACTCAAAATCTATTTTCTTTCATATTCATACAGACGAAGTTGAGATGATCAATTAGAGGGTTTTTCAACATTAGAACAACCTTTTTCGATGGATTTTTGATATGCATCCGTAATTCTACATTTTAATGTTGCAATCTTATGTAAACTTTTTCCTTCTTATTATGTACTTTTCAAGAAGGGTGAGGTTTTGTATAAGGTGTCAACTGAGCCGAAAAAATTATGCCGAAAATGTAATTGCAGTGCCACAGAGCCTTGCGATGGTAGGAAAATTTATTTTTACCCCCAATTATGAAATTTAAAATTTCAGAAATAATGATGAATACACATTTGAAAATTTTGAAGACGGACGGTCCAGATAATGTGTTAGAAAATGATATATTTTTAGTACTCGAAATCCCCTTTTAAAGTGTCTGTGAATCTCAAGATCGAGATGACCGATTGGGTTTTCCAACATAAGAACAACCTTCTCTAGTGGGTTTTTAGTTGCATCTTATCCGTACAGTATAAGGTGGACACCTTATTATATAAACTTTTGGGTTCCAAGAAATATAGCTGAGTGTGATTTAAATTAGGAAAAAGTTTACATAAAGATGCTATCTTATAATGTAGAACTATAGATGCTCCTCAAAAATCCATCGGAAAAGGTAGTTTTAATGTTGAAAAACCCTTTGAATGATCATCTCGACATCAAAATGTATGACTATGAAAAATAAAAAGATTTTAAAGTCTAAAAAATAGTACATTTACTACATATTATCTACACTGTCCATTTTCAAGATTTTCATATGTTATAGATCTACTTGATTTTAACCATTTTTGAAATTTTAAATTTCATAATTAGATATAAAAATAAATTTTGAGATAATCCTAATAACATTTTACATCAAAATTATATACCATAATAAAATTTGAAAGGCACCGTACCTCTACACCTAAGGAGGCGTCCATATAGACACTTCACCCTTTAAAGTAATATAAAAAGGACGAGAGAGATAAAAATGGGTCAGGCCCCAATCCCCATACATTTACCTAAAAAAATAAATAATGGGAGAGATGAAAAATAAAAAGAATAGACATGGCTTAGTCAATGTTGTTAGGAGTGAACCAGTGACAGGCTGAATGAGCTGAACTAGACCATATCACCGGTGGGACCAGACTGATAAATTAAAAATTAAAAAATAGGTAAAAATGAGAAAAAGTGGAAAAAATATTATGGAAAAATAAAAAATAAAAAATAAAAAATCAAGTAAATGAAAATATGAGTAGGTTATTCATGATATCTTTCAATAAATTTAAATTTTTAATCTCTTTCATTATGGGTTTTTTACTATTTAAAAAAAAGAAAGAAAAGCTTTGTATGCTTTCTCTACAACATAAAACTTATATACTTCGCCTTATCCAACTGCGCATTCTGAATGGAGGGCTAAGATTGCCCCAATCACAATGTCATATCTCTATATTATTTTATTTTTAATTTATTTTCTACAATCAATTTTAACACCAAAATTTGTACGTCCCATCTTCTATTAAACTTGCACTAGCGAAAAATATAAAAAAAATATTTTCAATAAAATAAAACGACTAAAATACCCTTGAAATTTTCAAGGGTATTTTGGTCATTATATTTTATCAAAAAAATATTTTTAATATTTTATAGGTGCCATCCAATGAGAAGATGACACATACCAAATTTCATATTCATATAATTTTTATAAAAAAAACTAAAAAAGAAATATTTTGAAACGTCGGATCTAAGATCGAATTGTGAGTGACTCTTTTGATCAAATTCGGATGGTTGGATGGTAGGGGAAGCATAGATCTTCTATGTTGTAGAGGAAGTATATAAACCTTTTCGTTAAAAAAATAGCATAATAAATTGCATAAAGTCATATATACTACACATAAAAGAAAATAACCCTAATATATCTAATTATCCCTAAGTAAAAAAATCCCTAATAATATAACCTTCAAACTTCGTCCATTCATTCAAAACTAAAAAAAGTACAAAACATTAGAAGTTCTCTTTGGAGGAAATGGCAATGAGAGAAGCATGTAAAAACCCACAAAAACATCATTTTTCATGTGAAAATAAACTGTGAAAAAGTAGCCGCCCCCATGATTGATATTGAATTGAGATCGAATGATCAATAATCCCGATATTCAAGGCTCGCTACTTGATTTCTTGCCAAAAAAAAAAACCACAAAATAATCCAAAATTTTCCTATTTCCCAACAATAAATCAAACAATGAAAAAAGTAGTTGGATACACTTACTTGGACCTCAAACAAGAGCGGTTTGACGGCCAGATTTGCTGTGGAAAATCGCTTGAAAAAGACTCCAAGGACGGTGGAGTTTTGGTAGAGAGAGCGCAAAAATTCCCCAAATGAACTCTCTCTCTCTAAAATTTCGTTCCCAAAACCCTATTTTTCTCTTTAATTTAATTTAATTGAGCAAAAATACTCTATTTTAAAATGGGAAAATTATTTCATGAGGGCTGGATCACATTTCTACATATGCGGTTCAGAAAGTGTAAAGCATCCATCTTAAAAATAGATGCAAGTAAGTGTTCTATCTTAAAACAATAGAAACTAATGGTCCAAATGTTTTCTTACTAGAGTTATTATTTTTAATTCTTAAAATTTATTTATTTTTTCATATTCATGATCTCCATTTTAGATATTACATGTCCTTAAAAATTAAGTCTTAAAATCCACCTCAAAAATAGATTTATTAAGAGGCCCTAGCTTCTACATAGGACTTGACCGCATAGAAACCAGGTCCTTTGTCCAAATGAAATATGATAAACACGTGTAATTTCAGTAACAATTAAAGGAAGAATACAAGACAATAGACCATCGGGTCTACTATGCTAGATTGGAATGGACTGGCAACTCGTTCATTGATTTCCAATTCCAATCGGTCCAGTCCAGTTCATACGACAATCATTT